TAAAAGTTGCTTAAAATGATGTAGAACGTCGACATTTGATGAAATTTTGACATGTTCAAAAAACAGTGATCGTAATAGCTACTCTACCTCATGCTAGAAAGCTAAAAATAATCTGTACTCAACTCTCCAACAATTCAATATGGGCAGCCTTTATAGCCAAACGTGCCAACTCAAACAAGGATACGTAAAAAAGTACTTAGTACTTAAAAAATGTTTTTGCGCGATCGGTCATTTCTGACTATTTACCATGGGTGTTTCCATGACAGTACGTAGAATTTACCAGTTTGCTATGATTACGACGACGCCAAAATTACTTACCGATCTAAAAACAGAACAGCAAAAATACTTACCGACGCCTTTTTAAATAATCAACAGTCTTACATTACATTTAATCTTTAATTATGTTAGGTACATTAAACGTACAATTTGTGCTGTTGTTTCCTATAGCAAGACGCTCATAAAGTCATAAAGGAAGTTCAAAGCTAGTAAACTACATCAGACACATGCACATTTTTATGAAATTATTAATTTCAATTTTGACATTTAAACTGGTTACCTAGTGATGTACACCATACCATTCGATTTATTTCGATTATTCTGCTCGTTAATTTTCTTAGGCATATTTATATTGGTTGGATAATTTTAATTTCGATCGCGCAAAAAAATGTTATAAGCACGTCGAACGTTAAGGGTTACCGTTCTCAGACAATAATTGGAGTCGTCGCTTCGCTCCTCCTCTCCCAACAATTGTCTTCGAACGGTAAAATCCCTTACCGTTTCCATACTTAATATACTATATGTTTCATTCGTACCAAAAATGAGTTTTCGTTAAAAAAATTTGAAATGCCCTTTCGTGGTGAGAATTTTCAAAATTTTTTTGCAAAATCGGAAAGGGCATACCCGAAAACCTATTCAAAGACGTGCTACCAATCTTTCTAACTCTTATGATTGCCGAGAAAAAAATTAAAGAAGAAATGCAAATTTCATCACTTTTGTGAGTTTATTTATTTAGAAAAAGTGCTTGTTTTGATCCCCTCTCCCACCCAAATTTTTTTTACATACTTATATCATACCTAGTATATGTGTTATATTATGCTTATACTCTGTATATACGATTTGGAATTTGACGAATGAGAACCTACCCTTCATGAGCTACAACTTTGCTTCTACTGGGTCTACAGACTTCATAAACACCATTTTGTTTGTCTGTTTATAAGCTATATTTTTGCTAAGAATACTTTTTTGGATACAATACTTACTTTTACAGTTATTTGCGAAAAACCGCCTGAAAACGTAGTTTTTTTGTTGAAAAATGAACATTTTCACTCGCAATTATCTCGAATACTATTGACTTAGTGAAAAAACTCTATAGAACAAAAGTTTCTTAGAATTTACTCAATTTATCAATTTCCGTACTTATTTTGAACGTATCTTTTTTCCCCCCCGAGAAGGGGTGGCATTCACCCCCCCAAGTAAAAGCAACCCTGGGCTCGAGTTCACCTTTGAAGTAGAGGGTAAGAGGAACCTAAATCCAAATTTTCATGGGATTCGGTGGAGACGCGGAAAATTACACAGTATCGCCGTATTCCACGTTCATTTACTGGCCTATAGGTGGGTTGGGTCTGTTGTCACAAACGATCGACGATAGAAAATCTTGATCGGTAAATTATTTGGGTTATACGGTTCAATACCACTTATTTGACATTCCTTTATGATGTTGGATGGCGTAGATGCCAACGTAAAGTGGGCTTTCACACCAAAGTAGCATGCGACGTGCGACTTGCTGCTTGGAAGCAAGAAGCACGTCGCAATCAGCATCTTTCACGTTTAGCTTCACACCGAAGCCGCAAATTGCGACTTATCTTCAGTTCTGTGTTGGTAGTGTACAATAACAAAACAATATTGAAAATGTCGTCGGAAGAAGACAATTTTGTGTTAATTGCTGCTATGATTGCAAGAAGAAGAAGGAAAAAAAGAAGAAAAGTTTGGATTCATCCGTATTTACGTGATAATGCTGACACGCATAGCACTTTCATTGTATCCCAGCAGCTACAGTTACATCCTCAAAAATTTCAAAACTTCTACAGGATGGAACAAACAACATTCAAGAAGCTTGTTGATCTAATGAAACCATCAATGCAGTTACAGGATACAAATTACCGAAGAGCTATCACTGTGGAGGAAAGACTTCTTATATTTTTGAGGTAGGTAGGTAATAAACCAGTTAATGCATGGAAATAAACCACAAGACAATTTGCTAAAACATGTTTTTATTATACATATACTCAAAAAACTTATAAATCACTAAATCGCTACTGCGTCAATAATTGATGATTTTGGTTAGGTGTATTAGCGTCATAAGCAGGCTGATTATGTGATGTATAGTTACCTTCGTTGATGAGCATGCCTCCAAATTGATCCGGAGTGAATGTGCCAACAGGAATGTTATACATATGGGACGTATGCGCCGTGTTTGATGCTGAAAGATCTTGATGTATTGTTGAAGATGTTGATGTATTCTTTTCTTGCAACATATTGTCTAATGTCTGCAGCACCACTACTTTGAATCTTCGTTTCTGAGATGCATTTAAAATACCCATATCCGGAAGAATGCTTTTAAAAAAATCTAAGTCAGGGTTTTGAGGTTGTGGCGCGCTTTTTTGAGAAAGGTAATTGATGACAGCATGCTCCATTTCATCGTCTGGTGGTTTTGCAGAAGTTTTTCTTTTTGTAGAGGATCTACTCGATGTACGTGATGGTGTACTTAAAAAAGAATTTTCATCTTGCAAACTTGCCTCGGAATGATGATTAGGGTTGGGTCCTTCTCTCGGTTCTTCTGGACCGGCAGCTGTGGAATCATTTTCATCATCGTCTATTATACTACCCTGATCGGTGTCAACCATTTCGTCTTCATTGGCCTCAGTTGGCAAATTGCCCGATTGAGGTCTTGATTTGGTGAATGGTAATACGAATTGCATAACGTCCCATAAGTAATACGGCTTTTTTGATTTAGCTGAATCTCCACTTTTTCCAGCACGCTGTTTCACATATCTCGTGAGGCTACCTCGAAGTGTTTTCCATTTTTTTTTGCATTCAGATGCTAAAACAAAACGTATGTCAATAAATTAGTGTAGTCCGCATCTTATAATTTATTTCAGTTAATACTATTATTGTAATTAATACTGATTATGATTTTGGCTTATCAAATATTTTATTTGCTTCATTTTCAGGTTTCTCGCAACTGGTATGACGTTTACAGCGCTTCACTTTGAATTTTATCGAGGAATTTCAACAATAAGTAGCATTATTTGTGGATACTGCTGAAAAATTATGGATAGTTCTCCAACCGCAATATATGGCATTACCTACAGTGGAGCAATGGAAAGAGATTTCTGCCAGATATTATGAACTATGGAATATGCCAAATTGCTTGGGATCTTTAGACGGCAAACACATTAGAATAAAGTGCCCTAAAAAATCAGGTTCATCATATTATAATTACAAAGGCTACTTTTCAATAGTTTTAATGGCAAGTGCGGACGCAGATGGCATATTCACTTTTGTGAGTGTTGGTGACTACGGTAGAAATAGCGATGGTCGTGTAATTAAATCTTCCGGTTTTTTTCGCGCTCTGACAGAAAATAAATTGAACATTCCACCTCCTACTGCCTTACCGAATGATGAGAATAATTCAACGTTTCCTATGTTCTTTATAGGAGATGAAGCATTTCCGCTTCATAAAAATATTATGCGACCTTACCCCAGAAGAACCCTAACCAACTCCAAAAGAATATGTAACTACAGACTTTCGAGGGCTAGGAAAAGTGTTGAATGTGCATTTGGTATGCTGGTTTCAAAATTTAGAATTTTTGAAACACAAATTGACTGTAAACCAGATAAAGTTACTCATATTGTCAAAGCTGCTTGTATTTTGCATAACTATGTTCGCAAGAACGATGGCAGGTTTTTGCATGTCAACAACGAACAAGATGTTGATGCTGCTTACAATGCGTTGCCGAGTTTACAACAAGAGCTTCACGGACGGCAACCAACAACGGCAAGCAGTTTGCGAGATAGGCTATGCGTATACTTTGTGAAACCTGAAAATGCACTACCGTGGCAAAACAATGTTTGTATATAAATACTAATTAAATATGTATGTGTTGATTATAAATAAATGTTTTTAAACTCCGTCGTATCGATTTTAGAACTCCGAACGCACGCCCATGTTTCGCCGACTTGATTCCAAGCTTTATCTTGCTCACTTCTGTTGCTATATGCTTTTAATGTGTGGTCATAAAGACACTGATAGGTTTCCACAGTTTGAACAAACGATATATTGAATTTTTCATCGTCTGGTAAGCGTTTTGTGCACGACATCATGAAAAAATATACAAATAATACCTAACCTCAATCACCAAATGGCTATAAACAACGTGTGGGCAGCAAGGAAACACGCAGCCGCGTAGCATTTTATACAACCTGTCGTATACTCACGTCGTACGCCGCACGTTGCCACGTAGCATTTTTGCGCCGCTACTCCGGTGTGAAACCGTTCATAATATGTATAGGTTTTTAAATAAGTAGCATGCTTCTTGCTTCCAAGCAGCAAGTCGCACGTCGCATGCTACTTTGGTGTGAAAGCCCACTACGTTCATTTCAAAATGTACACTGATAAAACAGATTTGGAAATTTACAATAAAATTACTGCTTTTCGGTGACCAAGAAAATTGATGTAAAATCGCAAGCATTCAGTAAACGAGTACATTTACAATTTATATGTAACTACGGATTTACAATTTCTTTGTAAAAAAGCCATTATTTTGTAACAAAATTTCACAATATATTTGTGATTTTAAAATTTAAAATACATATGTTACATTGAAAATTTACTTTTTTTTGTAAAATTTCATGTTATTCTATTATAGTATATTTACCAAGTTTTGGCATTTTACATAGCGATGCACGTTTTTTACATTGTAACTGTACCATTACATTTTTGTAAATTTCTACGGGGTAAGTAAAAGTAAAACCACTATCTAACATAATAGAAACTTGTATTATATGTTGCAACGTAACGCATAATTCAAAAATACAAAAAATCCAATAAACAAAACTACTATTCAGTACACAGTTCGAAAAAATAATACTATTTCAGTAAATAGTGAAGATTATATATATTATTAAATAAAGATATGTCATTCTAAATGTCTCTTAATTTATTTAGAAGCGCAAAAACTTTGCGCTTAGACGAGTTACTTTTTTTTGATTTAGTACCATCGTCAGGGTGGATTTTTAAAAAGTATCGTTGAATCGTTTCCATGACGCAGGAAATTTCCTTTGGATACTGTAAATTTAGTAGAAAATACAGCCCAACTAGACTTTGCACTGCCTCCTCAATCGATTCAACTTCAATTGCCTGCTCCTTTTCCAAAACAATGAACAGCTTTCTTTGAACTCCCGAATCTGTATTTAAAAATTATTGTGTTAGAAGCTTTAAATAGTACATATGACTAATTTATTTGAGGTCCTTTAAACGTTGTATATTATACAAGATATTCAAAACTGATTTAGCGCAGTTCGATTTTTAAAACTTTTATTTATAAATGCAGCAGAAATGAGTATTGCTACCTTGTATAAATTGGAAACATACAAGTAAATAAAGAATGATATGTGGCATTTTTCAGAAAAAAAAACATAAAAGATTGTATCTTTTTAAACACAAACATTGTCAGTAGATACTGTACACCCTACCACGTGTCATTCTATATTTTGGACATCCATAATACCAAATTAAGAATTTTGAAAACTCTTACCTACATCCACAATACACGGCGAAAGAAATGATATATCATGATCCAGATCTGGGTCTTTCTATAACAAAAATAATTCATGGTACCTTTTATGTTCATACTCGAATACTACACCTACCTCAACTTTTAGGTAAATTTTTTCAAGATCTTCCTTATATAAGTTGCACAAAATTTCCAACGTATCTAATACTTTGTTGTTATTTTTGGGAATTTTGAAATTTCTTTGAGAAGCATATTTTGAAATATTTTCAAACTTTTCTGCCATAACATCAGATAACGTCTTTAGGTTTGCCTTGGTTAAATTATGAAAATGCCAATAAATTGCTGGAATTTGGAACAAAATAGGCCATTCTTCTTTTATTTTATGCACGGTGGGAGGATCTTCACTGTTGATAAAGTTTCTTTGGTCTGTATAAGTTCTGTTCATTAATTCATAAAATTCGTCATTATATTGCTGTTTTTTTCCTAATTCTAACAATTTAGATTTATAGTCCTCATCGTGTTGATCGTCATTTATTACATCTGGAGGGTTCCAGTTGGAACAACCCGCAGTGGAATTTTTAATTTTCTTAGATTTTGAAGATATTTGGTTAGAAGACAATCGCTTGTGTGGCCTATTTAAGTAATGGATTCTTTCATGGAGTTTTGTAAAAATGCTGCTACATCCATCTCCTAATGTTACCCCATCGTCATCGACATCTTTAAATACATTTGGGTATTTTGTTATTATTTTATTGGCCACAATTCTAATGGATTTGCTTGATGGTAGAGACTTTATAGCCATCATTTCGTTTGCAACCATATGCACAATCTCTGTTATTATTCGTTTATCACGCACTCCCTTCTCGCATACATTAATTACATTAACAGATAACTTATTCCATGGAATTTCGAAGCTAGTCCACATATATTCCATATTGTTGTCTACATGAAGTATACGTGCATTTACAATGTTGATGTTTTCTTTTTCGTCATAATTGCCATCTGCACCTGCAGTAACGGAATCTATCAGAGAAACCGTACTGGCCAGAGACACAGTACTGGCTAGTGATGTAGCTCCAGAAATGCAATCCGTATCGGTCCACTCTTCACCCGTTTGCAATAGAATTAGAATTTGTTCTTTTACCAACATAAGGATGTCATCTTCGTCCACTATGGTTCCGTCACTCTCCAATACTAGCTTCACTCCATCTATTTCAAGTTTTTGGGAAGCTGAAACAATTATGCCATTACAAACAACGCGGGACAGTAACGACCATACTAACCTTTTAACACCAGTTCAACATAAACGTTTTCCTCTGGAACACAAACCAAAACTTTTCGAGTACGTGTCCTATTCCATACTTTGAATAGATGCATCTAAACAGTATGTTAAATATTATTAGAAACTGCTGTACGTATGTGAAATATTGATTAACATTTTTAGGTAAAGTAATATCTTTTAATTGAATAGGTGCATTATTTTTAACAGTGAAGAATGATTTTTTGATAAGTAACAGTACCTACTAATTAATTGATTGCAAATATGTAATATAGTAAGTCACAAAGTTAGGAGAAACAATAAAGGCGAAACTTTCCGCTGCATATAACGGAACTGATTTTGCCTCTTCTTTCATTTTTTTTTTCATTTCGTCAGTATGATATACCGCAATTATTTACGCTTTCAAAAATTAATAGCAAAAAGTAATGCAAAATTTTAGAAATCTGGAATTTAATAAGTCACAAAGTTAGGAGAAACAATAAAGGCGAAACTTTCCGCTGCATATAACGGAACTGATTTTGCCTCTTCTTTCATTTTTTTTTTCATTTCGTCAGTATGATATACCGCAATTATTTACGCTTTCAAAAATTAATAGCAAAAAGTAATGCAAAATTTTAGAAATCTGGAATTTAATACATCAACACCATACTCTTATCTTTCCAATATAAAAACCCTCAACTCAATATCTCGCTGAAAAGTGACAAAAATGTGAAATAAAATGAGATAAATTAAATCAGTGCCGTTACACAGCGGAAAGCCTCGCCTTAATGCAAAAAAATTGATTGCAGTATGTATAACGTAAAAAAATTGATACTTTTGGTTAAAATCGAAAAATTAACATTTAAAATACTTTAAACTTCTTTGTAAAATGTAATCTTTATACTACATACGGAGTTGACTTAAAACTATAAAGAATAGTTTTTGTCGTACTTAAATACTGTAAAAGTGGTTCATGACATAATAAACTGTTAAATTTAACGAAAATGTTAATTTCGGTTTCATCGGCAAATTGGTAAAACAAATCATTGTAATAATTACAAAATATTTTTGTCTTTTGACCTACAAAATAAATATCGTCATATTCTTTGGTTATTAAAATGAACTGGATTTTACACAATAGAAAGTATCCAAATGCGTCTATATCATAGCAAACTACTTGACCGGTTTTGTAAATGGTACCTCTAAAAGTAACATAGTTTGATATGAGAATGTCAATATTTCCAATGTTAGTTGTAATTAGATTCTTCATTTCATACGATACTTCACACTCGCCTAGTATATGAGCATCATCTGACAATACACTGTCATTAAATAACAAATTTTGGGTTGCATTCAGTGCTTGAAACAACTGATGCTTATTTGATAGTGAAAATAATATGTTCTTATAATTCTTACTATGTCGTATGGCATTTTTAAAGTACTGGTGTTTTGCCTCAAATCTTAAGGTCCATAAGTGCCTTAGTGGTCCAAATTGTCGTGTTAAATAAGGATAGTGAGACATAAAGTGATGTTTTGGTTTTAATGAAACGTTGGGAAACAAAGTTTGGCGATCTTCCAAATACTCAGTAATTAAAGTTTTTAACAGAGCTACTTGATTAAGAGAAATTTTAAAACTTAACAGCAGCAAACAAATTCTTCGTAAACATAATATTAATTTCCATATTGCAGAGACATGGAGGTTATCATCGTCATGAAATACAAAAGGGAATAACAACAAAAGCATCATATTTTGTGATGCATTACCAGGAAGTTTGTCACCTTTGCTCAATAAAGGAAAAGTGTATTTTTTCTCAAACAGAAAATGCAGTTTGCTCACTTTAATGTTAAGTTCATCGTAAGAAAACAATTTGTTAGAAACACATTGGTTAATTGCCAACATCAAATCCCTTTGTACTACACCTTCAAACATGTCATGAGCAATGCAAGGCGGTAGTCCAGGATTACACACGTGATAATAATTTAAGTCGTTTAACACAGAATTGTGTTTAATTCCTTTAGAAGGCTCTGCTTCAAAATTTGCCATGTTAACATCGAATTCGTACAATGACTTTGTTCGGTAAACTATAGGTTTATTAGAATGAGCATAGCTAAAATCGCAGTATCGACAGAAATAACCCGATGTGCTAAAATTTTCGACAAACCCACCAACTTGATGACTGCCTAAGTTGTCTCCGATCACTGATAATAAGGAACCTTTTATATTAATTCGTTTATTGTCAACTTCTACTTCGACGCCTGTAACTTCTATAAACTTCAAATCTTCCAATAATACAGTTAGCACTTTATGAAAACCTAACATTTTAATAGTTTTTTCGTACACCAGTCCAATTAATTGAATATGACCCACTTTTGACCAATGCCTACTGGGTATATTATTAACTGTAAAGTATATTCCAACTACTTTATGCTTTTTTCTGGATGAACCTAAAGGGTTACAAATTTCGAAAGCGTCTTGGTAAAGAATTAATTGCAAGGCATGGGGATTATTCTCGTAAAATAAGTTATTCTTAAAAGAAATACCATCACATATATTTGAGAAATCCTCAACATTGCTTTCTGGTGAAAAATATGCTTTACAAAAATTTTTTGTTTTAAACAACATTTCTATCGTTTTTATAATCGGGACGTAATAAAACTTAGAACCACCTTCTAAATTAATACACTTTGGCGAAATGTAATTAAAATAGTTTTGATAGTATTTATTTCTTATGAATTTAGATCTTAGTTCACCATGTACGGCGTTATGAACTTTGTCAAACAAATTGTTTTCTAGAATGGCTTTATCGATTACAACATTGTTAGTTTTTAACTTTTCAATTATGTAATCATTATTTAATTTATTGAGGTCAGTTATACCATCGATAACTATTTGCATTGATTTATTTGTCATAAAGTATTTTGATTCCATTGTCAGATATAATGAACTGATTAACTTGAGGCTTAGCTCTTCATAATTATTGTTAGGTTGACCTTCACCTACTACGACAGGATTATAATCTTCATCTGAATCCAAATTGTTAATTACTTCGACGTCCCCGACGTCATTTATATCACAAAGCGTGTCTTTGTTTCTTACAAAAGAACCTTTCAAACTTTTAAAATGAATTCTACGCATATGTTGTGACAAATTATTCACCTTTGTAAACACTGTCTCAGTTTTACAGGAATCAAACAAAGGGCATTTCAAAGGAATGCTATTTTTAATGTGACTATATGCATGCTTACACAATTCATTTGTATTAGTGGTTTTAAATACACACACAGTGCATGAAACAGAAGCAAGCATCATCGTCGAATTATAATTAAATTTATGATTTTGGAGGATATGTTTTTGAAAGTGTCTGTAATTTGAGAAGTTTAAATTGCAGTTGTTTTTCAAGCATTTGAATGTTGCACCATGTGTGTTTCGATGATAGCTTAAGTGAACATTATATTTGCTCAATGTTTTTAAATTGAAACCACAAATGGTGCACTTAAATATCATTGTAACTTATACCTAGCTTATAACTACAATGGGTTAAATATAGGTATACTTTCCTTTTTATGTTTACACACCAACTCCAACACGAGCACCAGCACCACTAACGCACAGATAGAAGTAAAACGGTAATGGCGAACGCGCACAAGCACAAATTACTTACTCAATGCATAAAAATCCCGTGTCGACTATAAATTATTCTATTGGTTAAAATTTACATGATATTTGTAAAATTACTATTTCATTGAAATTTTCCCACTTTCTCTTTGAAAATTACAACCTATTTGAGTATACTATGTGTTTTTTTGAAATTTTACAATCCATCTTTGTAAATGTTTTACAGAATTGAAAAATAACAAATTAAATTTACAACCATTTTGCTATTCCTACAATCCGAATCAGAAAAATGCAAGAAATGTGTAAATTTCCCAGTATTATTGTCGTTATAAAATTTACAATCAATATTAAGGTAAATTACGTTAATTTCATTGTAATCTCTAAGTAAATTTACAGCAATGTTTTTTGCATTGGTAAGTTATTATTCAGCCATGTTTGAAACTAAAAAGGAAAATCATCCGGGTCAGTATTACATTCCAGCTTTGAGGCCTTTGTAAAGAAGGTATAATGAAACTAGAGGAATTGAAGCGATAGAGTCAAATAAGAATAAACTTGTAACAAATATAGCAAACGAGCTCCTGGATCACTGAACATCTTTTCCTTGGGTGATGATAAACGAAATACTGAAAACAGAATTGGAAAATTCGAAACCGTTCGGGAGTTATCTTGTCCACATACGGACGGACGGACGGACAAAAAGTCCAAAATTCTGAACTTGCTAGGAGCTTCTTAATAATATAATTAATCTTTTCAAAGAAAATACTTGTTAAAAGTCCTAAAAACGCATGGTTATTGGTACTGAGCTGCCTTTAGAGTCGGTGGAAGCTATGCTAAAATAAAATCCTTATTTAAATTTTGCTGTACTACATATTGCTGGTAGAGAACGTCAAGGTCCTTAATCTGTCATTTGTTATATTTCTTCCTTGTCTACAGTAGGTATATCTAGACAAAATAATATTTCCTATTTGTTGAAAAGCCCAGATGTGGTATCGCATTCAGAAATGGCGTGCATGGCAAAAATAACATTTTTAGAGGTCCTAATTTATGTTGACATTTTTAAATATCCATGACTTTATTTGGTTTTCAATTTCCTGGCCGCAACATAGGTATATAAATTTTGTTTGGCATAGTGACTTAATGAACTAAATATTTTTGAAAAATTTGTCTTTATTTCAATCAGAAATTAAAACATTAGTCTTTTTAAAAATAACCAAAATTAATATCATAACTCCGCCACTGGTACAGGAAAATATACAGGGTCATTCTTGACGAGCGTCAGTTAGAAAGATATGGAAAACCTTTGAAAATGAAGATAAACTAATAAGTTCTTTAAGGGTTTTGGCACATGATGAATTGAACTAAAATATTTTTAAGATGGCGCCACTTCCGGAAATACCGGAAGTAGCCATCAACTTTGATATTTTAAATAGGGACCCTCTATTTTTTCTACATTTTCGGATTCTACGTCGAATTTGGAGTACAACGATACCCCATAGTTGACCCTTTGCTCCAAGCGCTTCGACGATAATCAAGTTTTTATGTAAAGAATTGAATTTGCAGGGGTAACTTTAAAAATTTATTATTCGAAAACGGTGAGAGATATTGCAACACCGTTTGCACTGATTTTTTAAAGAAAGATCGAATTTTCTTATGGTATGCGTAACAGTCCAAGAAAGTGAGACTACGTCACTTTTTCAAAGCTCTCAACTTTTAAACTTTTAAATACCCACTCCACAAATACTCCATTTTTTCAAATGACACCCCCCATTTTGTTCTTCACCCTTGTTTTCCTTTTTCCCAGACCTTTAATTTGATACAAAATGTCAAAAGCTCCTTCAAACGGTTTCC